GTGTTGGGTATGAGCCAAGGCCCCATAGGGGTTCTGGTGGCTTCAAAGGCTCTAAAAAGTAATGTTTGTTTCACCAACCATAAGGGCGGTGCAAATTATTTCTTTCAACGTTAACGGTATTCGAAATTCTGACAGACGTTCGGGTCTCTTACTGTGGTTGTGATCCCTTGCGGTAGTCCCTGATGTGGTGTGTCTTCAGGAGGCACATTGTGTGAGTGATGTCGAGTGTCAGTCTTGGTTTCGTTGTTCTTGTTTTCAATCTGTTGTCTCCTGGTTCTCAAAAATCTTGTGGTTGTGTCATTCTCTTTCGTCCTTCTTTGTCGCTTGTTGATTTCTCGTCTGACGATGCTGGTCGTGTTGTGTCGTGTAAGTTTTGTCTCCAGGACAAGTTGTTTCAGACCAGTTTCTTGAGCAGGTCTCCTCCTGGGTTGACCCATTGGTCCCTATTGTCTTGTGTGGTGACTTCAATACGGTATTTGACCGCTCGCTCGATCGTGCTGGGTCGGATGCTTCTAATACCTCGAGAGAGAGTTCCTCTACGCTTTCGCATCTGTTTGATGCGTGTTGTGTTATCAACACCTGGCGTTACTTTCATCCTTCATCCTCGGGTTTTACCTGGATGAGCTCAGATGGTTCAGTTTCTTCTCGTATTGACCTTATTGGCTGTCCGTATGTGTTGGTCCCTTCTGTCTCGTCGTGTGATATTCTCCCATGTCCCTACTCTGATCATTGTGCTGTCCTGCTACGTGTAACTGTGCCACATGTTGTTCCTCCGGGTCCTGGCCTGTGGAAGCTGAACATTTCTATTCTGGAGGATGAGGAATACCTTCACCAGGTCGGGGAGTTTTGGTCTAACTGGTGTGGTCGGAAGTCTCAGTTTCCTTCTCTTGGCAAAAGGTGGGAAGAGGGCAAGTCCCGTATTAAGGGTCTATCTTTTCGGTACTGCTGTTCCAAATCGTCTGCTTCTTCTGTTAGGAGGGATCTCCTTTCTCGGCTTTCTGCCCATCTTAAGGAGCGGGTTGACAATGGCCATCTTTCTTTGGTTGAGGTCTACCAATCGGTGCTTCAGCAGTTGGCTGACTTGGATGTAGAAGATGCTAAGGGTGCCCAGGTGCGAGCTTGAGCACGCTGGATTGAGGAGGGTGAGAGCTCCAGTGCTTACTTTTTCCGCTTAGAGAAAAAACAGGGTGCTGATCGCTGGATTGCCGCTGTGCGGAATGATGTGGGTGCGACAGTTTTGTCCCCTGACGACCTCTGTCAGTCATTCGCGTCTTTCTACTCATCTCTCTTTTCGGCTGAATCTATTGATGTTGCCGCTCAAGAGTCTCTTCTCAACAATGTTGAGTCGTCTCTTCCGTCTGATCAGTCGGAGTCTTGTGAAGGCTTGCTGACGGTAGAAGAATGTCTTGAAGCTTTGACTGGTATGGCCTGGCGGAAGGCTCCAGGTCTGGATGGCCTTCCAGCCGAGTTCTATCTGAAGTTCTGGAGTGTTTTGGGGCAGGATCTTGTTCAAGTGCTTAATTCGTGTTACCGGGCTGGTTCCCTGACTCTTTCTCAACGACGGGGCGTTATTTCTTTGTCATTTAAGAAGGGTGATCGTCTTGATATGCGGAACTGGCGTCCCATATCACTTCTTAATGTGGACTATAAATTAGCTGCGTGTGCTGTCGCTGCCAGGCTTTTAAAAGTCATCAATCTGATAGTCGCCAAAGATCAAACTTGTGGGGTCCCTGGCAGGTACATCGGGGAGAACGTTGCTTTCCTCCGCGATGTCGTTACGTATGCCACTACTTTTGATGCTCCGGTCGTGATCTTGTCTCTGGACCAAGAAAAGGCCTTTGATAGAGTGGATTGGAATTTCATGCATTCCACTCTTCGTAAAATGGGGTTTGGCACGTCCTTCCTGAAACGGGTTAATCTTTTCTATACTAGTGTGCAAAGTTCTGTCAACGTCAATGGTTACTTGTCCCAGTTCTTTTCTCTTTCTCGTGGTGACCGGCAGGGCTGTCCTCTGTCTCCTCTTCTCTATGTTCTTGTGGCTGAAGTATTAGCTTGCAGCATTCCTGCCAATCCACGTATCAAAGGCCTTTGTCTCCCCGGGTCTTCGGACCCCCTGTCCCCTATCTCACAGTACGCTGGTGACACATCGCTGGTCGTGTGTTCTGATGACGCCATCCGTGCTTGCTTTGAGGTTTATGATGTATATGAGCGTGGCTCTGTTTCAAAGCTTAACCTGTCTAAATCTAAGGGTCTCTGGCTTGGGCCTTGGGCCAACCGCTCTGACCCGCCCGCTACTCTTGATTGGTCATCTGTTAAAATTAAGGTTTTCGGGGTTTTTCTAGGTCCAGGCAACCTTGACGACGTTAATTGCAAGCCTCGTATCGTGGCGGTTGAGAATACCCTCTCTTCCTGGCGCCAACGTATCCTGTCATTTTGCGGCCGTGCACTTGTCATCAATGCTCTGGCCCTGTCTCGAGTGTGGTATGTCGCTTCTCTGATC